TATAAAGTGGCCGGGCATGGTGGCTTAAACCTGTAATCCCAGCACTTTGGGAGACTGAGGAGAGATGATTGCCTGGGCCCAGGGGTTCCAGACCTGCCTGGGCAACTTGGCGAGACCTCATCTCTACAATAAATCAAAAAATTAGCCGGGTGTGGTGGTGCATGCTTGTAGTTCCAGCTAGTTCTTGGAAGGCTGAGGCAGGAGGATCACGTGAGCCCAGGAGGTCGAGGCTGCAGTGGCTGTGAGTGAGCCACTCCACTCCAGCCTGGGCAACAGAGTGAGATTCCGGCTCCAAAATAAGGAAGAAAAAAAGAAATATGAAGTAAGCATATGGGGGCTGGGGGGGGGCTGCTGCTTATTTGACAGATTACTGAAGAAACTGAGACTCAGGGAGATGGGGCCATCTGCCTGAGGTTGCACAGCATGAGATAGGACCAGGTGAAGGCCCAGGTCTGTGGCTGCGAAGCTGGCTCCCACCCCTGAATCCCTACCCCTCCACTTCCTCCTCCTCTCCACCCCCTGGCTGGTGCCAGGGCTGAGCTTAGAAGGGCTGGCCTGGGGCCCAGGGTGGGCTGTTGCTGGGGGCTTGAATGAGGCAACCTTGCCTGGGAATCTGCTGGGCTCAAAGAGCTATTTATAGGCCTTTGCAGGGATTGGGCAAGCCTGCCCCAGCCCTGAGTGCCTTCTCGGCTCCCCCCCACACACACACACTGGGGCCCTGGGCCAGGGGTTGCTGCCAGTGGAGGAGGGGACAGATGGGCCAGAGCAGAGGCCAGGAGTCTGAATCCGCCTGGAGAGCTGGGTCTCAGGGGCGAACAGTGTCCCCCAAAGTGCCTCTGAACACATCCAAGGTGACACGCGGACAAGTCACACACAACGTCACCAGCAATCACTGACACACACAGTCACATCCCAGCCACACAGATACCACAAGTGGCTCACATACAACCTCACATGGCCACACACCAGTCTTACCAGCCACACACAATCAGCTCAGCCACATGCGACCCACCTGGCTGGGTAGTCACATCCAGCCACACACAGCCGAGTGTGGTTGTGTG